CAGTTAGGCCAAAACCGCCTGTTTCAGATCCTTTCCAATTCATTAATCATTCTGTCATCGACGCTATATAGTCTTTACATTCAAAAATAAACCCAAAGATCTTCTGCACGATGTGTTCCCCCAAACATTGTTAAGCCAAGAATAATATGAATTATGCAATCTTCCACAGCCTTTATTTCTCATAGAATGAAATACTTATTCCTCACAGATCTAAATTTTCTCCTTGGTACTTAATCCCATGCATATTTTTCAGTGTCTATTCTTACTCTAATTGTGATAGACACTTGTATTTATCAATCATGTTTCCACCTCACGAGCCGCCACTGTACAGCAATGCATCTTGTGTGGTCTTATTCCTCCAAGCCAAGCAACACTCGACCTGTCAGACAGTTCCCTCCCGACCTGACACAACGCTGCGAATACTCTATACCGGCTTATTATATATATATAGCTGCTCGGGAAAATTAAATGAAATGTTACAGTGCTTCAAAACTGTTTCCAGACTACTTTAGATTTCTGCCGACTGCTCAGTGTTTGATAGAGCCATCCTCAAAACCTGGTGCAGGCCGTACCTAGCTAACAACAATACCACATTCAGTAAAGCAGCTATTGGGAAAAATGTGGTAATGTAAAAGAATATTCTATGGGGTACAGAGTCCCAAATTACGTATCTATTGGGTTATATCTTTTGGTAAATATCCCGGTGTAATCTGTTGAAAATCAAGGGATATTTCAGAGGAATATAGCTCTATCCTTAGTGTCGAAGAAAACCCAAACAAGAAACCACCATGAAGCAGGTAGCTAGCAGAGCTAAATGAGCTTAGGTTGAAGCGTAATTCATATGTTTACTGCGACATAACATATTAATAACAAAAAAGTAATTTATATATTTTGTGACTATATTAACATCTGGTATTTGCTGTGACTGTTTCCTTGCTAGAAGGATGGAATCGATGGCCATTGTTTTCCGTAATGGAAGTCGTCGTCCCGAGTCTCTTTGTAAGCTAACTTCATGGAGATAGTCCGCCTTGAGTACCTTATTCTAGCCCAGCCGGTCACGAAATTGCCCGCATTTTATTGAACTACAAATTTATTGGTCTTTAAATTTCATTCATCGGCATCCGTGACGGAACAAAAATCTAAATCTTCTTTTAATATTCTTCATAATTTTTCATAATGCCAATGACGTTATTTAGAAGAAAATGTGAGCGCGAGGAATGTATTTACGATTCCGTAGAGCAAATTTACTCTGTGATTGGGTTGAAGTTGTACGTAATATTTCAGCATTGAGCAGTCTCAATTGTTACAAATGCTGTGACTGCAGGGAACTCAGATTTACCAACTTAATATTTTTGGAACTAAGTAAAAAATATCACGGAACAAGAAGACAATTCCTAACAGCGTTAACAAATTCCCTGATTCTTCTAAAAGTCAAAAATGTAATAGTGTATACACAGGAACCCCTTACTGAAACCCATCTTGGGCTAAATTAATCCAGTTCATATTCTCACACTCCCTTTCTTTGGGAAATATTTTAATATTGTCTTTCCTTCTATGTGGCATGTTCATGTCAGGTTCTTCAGCTGATATATATATATATATATNAAGGAAACAAGCAAAACTGCAATGGTTACAGGATCCAAGCGAGTTAAATGGGGATAATCTGGAAATATAAGACGTGAAACCGGCAGGCATTTCAGGAACAAAAAGAGGGAATATCTGAAAGACAAAATTGATGAGCTTGCAGTGAACGGTAAGAACAATAACTTTAGAGACCAGTATACAGGAATAAATGACTTTAAGAGGGGTTACAAGCCTAGCAGTAACTTAGTGAAGGATGAGAATGGTGATCTGCTTGCAGATTCCCACAACATTTTGAATAGGTGGAGGAACTACTTCTCTCAGTTATTGAATGTACATAGGGGCAGTGCTGTTAGGCAGACAGAAATCCATACAGCTGAGCCGTTAGTACCTGATCCCAGCCCTTTTGAGTTTCAAATTGTTATTGCAAAATTGAAACGGTATAAATCGCGAGGTAGTGATCAGATTCAAGCAGGAGGCGAAATATTACGTTCTAAGATCCATAAGCTAATTACTTCTGTTTGGCATAAGGAAAAGTTGCCTGATCAGTGGAAGGAGTCTATTATTGTACCAGTTCACAAGAAGGGTGATAAAACTGACCGTAGTAATTATCTGGGGATATCACTGATATCAACTTCATACAAAATTTTATCCAATATTCTTCTCTCAAGGTTAAGTCCATATATAGATGAAATTATTGGGGATCATCAGTGTGGGTTTCGATGTAACAGATCAACTACAGATCAGATCTTTTGCACTCGTCAGATATTGGAGAAAAAATGGGAGTACAATGAGACAGTACATCAGCTATTCGAAGACTTCAAGAAAGCCTGTGATTCGGTTAGGAGGAAAGTATTGTACAATATTCTAATAGAGTTTGGGATACCCATGAAACTAGTTAAGCTGATTAAAACGTGTTTAAAAGAAACGTGTAGGAAAGTCCATGTAGGTATACATTTGTCTGATAAATTTCCTATCCAGAATGGTCTAAAACAAGGAGATTCTTTATCGCCACTCCTTTTCAACTTTGCTTTAGAATATGCCATTAGGAAGGTCCAGGGAAACCAGATGGGACTGAAGATAAACGGGACACATCAGCTGTTGGTCTGTGACGATGATGTGAATCTACTGGGTGATAACGTAGTTACCATAAAGAAATACACGCAAACTTTAATTGTCACTAGTAAGGAGACGGATCTAGAAGAAAACACATAGAAAACTAAGTATATGTTGCTGCCTCGTCACCAAAATGCAGGGCAAAATCATGACATAAAGATAGGTAACAGATGTTTTGAAAATGTGGCGCAGTTCAGATATTTGGGAATGACTATAACAAATCAAAACCTTATTCAGGAGGAAATTAAGAGGAGACTGAACTCGGGTAATGCTTGCTACCATTCAGTCCAGAAACTTTTGTCTTCTCGTCTGTTGTCCAAAAACATAAAAATTAGAATATACAAAACTATAATTTTGCCTGTAGTTCTGTATGGGCGTGAAACTTGGTCTCTGACATTAAGGGAGGATATATACTGAGGGTGTTTGAGAACAGGGTGTTGAGGAGAATATTTGGACCGAAGAGAGATGAAGTGACATGAGGTTGGAGAAAACTGCATAATAAGGCGCCTCATAACTTGTACTCTTCTCCAAGAATAATTAGAATGATAAAGTCAAGGAGGATGAGGTGGGCGGGGCAAGTGGCACGAATGGGGGAGACGAGGAATGCATATAGGATATTGGTGGGAAAACCAGAAGGAAAGAGACTACTGGGAAGACCAAGGCGTAAGTGGGCGGATAATATTAAAATGGATCTTAGAGAGATTAGGACAGGATGGTATGGATTTTATTGATCTGGCTCAGGATATGGACCAGTTGAAGGCTCTTGTGAACATGTGAACATGGTATGAACTTTGGGTTCCATAAAATGCTGGAAAATTCTTGAGTAGCTGCAGAATTGGCAACTTGTCAAGAAGGGCTCAGTTCCATGAGTGATGATGATATATCTTAACATTCATGCCCGCGACATTTCTCACCCATCCCATGGACCCAGTTCTCGATTTCATCGCCGTAATAGTACTCAGTGAAGAGTACAAAGTATGAATCTCTTCATTGTACGTATATTTTTCTCCAGTCATCTAGGCGCTGTTCCTTAAATGGATGTTGTTCTGTCAATCTCAAGAAACATTTTTAAAAAAATATAATAAACAGATTCAGCCGTGATATAAGCGTACTTCCCTGCGCCTTGTTCCTCTTGAGGTTTCAGAGGAAAATATTTTTTATGCTAATCCATAGCATGTGAATTATAAACCTACTTATTTTTCGCGTCTTTGATTAAGTTAAACTTTAGTCACTTCATATTTTGCCACAGTGATTTCATCAGATTATCATATCCTCAGTCTTCATTCTGTTTAAGCTTCATCTCTGACTTGAAACTCGGCTGGTTGCACAGCAAAGACCCGTTGCCGAATAGCAGCTGTGTAAACAGGCGACAGTACAACATCCGTTGCTAGAGTACAGCTAAGTGAACACGTTGCTTCCCCGGAAACGAAAGAACATGTAATAATGAAAGATACGTTTTTCTGTGTTGTCCGTGTCGGGGCTATAATATGAGGACCAGCTGCAATTACGGCACAGTCTTGAGACGGCAGTTAGAAGAGTTGGAGGCTGGTGTGAGATGGCCGCCAGTCTGCGAGGACGTGAGACCAAGAGCAGAGAAACGTCCACTGTTGGAAGATGTTACCAAGCACGGCAGTGAAGACAGTGACTAAGAATACGTGTAATTTTTCAGCGAATATTTTATAAATAAGTAAGGCACGAAGCAATTCTGTGGCTTCTAAGATGTTGCAGAGAGTAACGCTGAACCACTATCTTGCTTCCAAGCAATTATGTAAATCCCGCAATAAACTGAAGCCGTCCGCCTGATATAATGACGCGGTTAAATGATGCTTGTAGCGGTCACCTCACAGCAGGTGCCTTCTGCAGTCCCTGGTCTCATATCTTCCCACTGTCGGGGAAACGGCAAGTGTTTGAAACTAAAGGAGCCAGATATTTGCTCCATAGAGAAATGAGGCCGCGGGGCATCTGTGATATTACATAAGGATGAAATAGCAGATTTATGGGGGTAACTCGGTATTGCTAGGATAATGAACTCTAGGTTTGATTGGTTGGGATCAAGAACATGGGCTCGGGTAGTAACATCTCGGCACTAGATGGGAGTGGTCAGCTTCACGCCCTGGTCGCTCTATCCCCAATGAATGAGCTCGGTTGACCCGAGAACCGGTGTGGACGACGTGGAGAAAAGAAAAGTTTCTTGCTGGGTGTTGAAACACGGTCGATCAGCCAGTTTCCGTCACTATAGTGACTGACCTATCCCTGCTCCATGTCATTTACCATCATTATATAATTATTAAGAAAACACTTACCAAGAATGCCGTCGATGGAGTGGTTCTTCCTGGGGTCACTTTCGTCTCTACGACCCCCTCTTAGCAACCTGCTGATGGAGCTCACAGATGGTGCGCTGTTTTTGTCGCAGATACCATCCTGCATGCGCAGAAAAATGAACTAATAATAAGTCAATTCAATTCTTTATTATTTATGTGCCAAGTCAACAGCTGTAAGGCCAANATAATAATAATAATAATAATAATAATAATAATAATAATAATAATGTGGCGTATAGTCCCGTTGCTAGGCAAAGACCTGGAAGCAAACGAGACAGCCGTTGCTATGCAACGGCGCGGTAAACACGCCTCTGCAACAATAGAGTTAACGGTTGGAAACGGTGTTATGCAACCCGTTGCTAGGCAGCTGCAACATTTGGACAACAATGGAAACGGGGTGTTTTCTATGTGGTTCCTACCGAGGAGTCATATTGAAGACAACTGGGGCGTCCAATGAATTTCCCTTTTTGAGGCGGGTTCCAGTTCCTCTACCGTAGCGGTACGAGGTAGCGTAGTGGTTAAGGTACTATGCTACAAGCCGGAAGGTCGCGGGATTTTTTTCAATTGACCTAATCCTTCCGGCCGCACTAGGCCCTGGGGTTTACTCAGCTTCTAACAGAAATGAGAACCAGGAATTAATTAAATGATTTTCCTGGGGAGTGAAGGGCGGGCGGCGCGTAAGGCTGACAACCTTACCGCCATCTTTAAGCCGATTGTTTACATGATGTGGGACCCTCAGCGTCTCACAGCCCTATGGGCCTTCACGGCCTGTTACAGGGATAGCTTTACTTTTTACTTTTACTTCAGCTCCAGATATGAGCGAAATATTTCTGGGATCCACATTTAAGAAAGGAACACAAAAACAGTATGACTAAAGAATCAAATTGTAGATGTATGCCCTAGAAGAAACGGTCAAGTAATTCAAAACAATTTGTTCCAGATTACACAAATTCCTTTCCTCGAGTCCCTTCTCACAACTACAGAAGAAACTAGAAAACAATACTATTAAGCAAAGAGGTAAAGTTACAAGTATCCCTGTAACAAGCCGTGGAGGCCCATAGGGGTGTGAGACGTCGAGGCTCCCCACATTTTCTAGATAATCGGCACGCAGATGGGGGCGAGGTTGTCAGCCTTTCGCGCCGCCCGCAGTTTACCCCCGGAAGATTCCTGGTATTCATTTCTGTTAGAGGCTGAGTTGACCCAGAGCCATAGTGCGGCTGGAAGAATTAGGTAAATTGAAAAATCCAGTGACCTCATCTGGAATCAAACCTGCCACCTTCCGGCTTGTAACAGAGTGCCTCAACCAACTACGCTACCGCGTGCTCCAAGTAAAGAGATTTTAATGATAAAGTGTATGAATGACCGGATTGTTGACTTGTATAAAGAGAACCACGGAGATGCGAAAAGATAATTTTTTCCTTGGCACTACAGCCCCAGTGCGCCTAGGCCTACCTCCATGAACTTTTCCGTTCACTTCGGTTTTTCTAGATCTTACACATTCGGTAGGACTCCTTGGGCGGGTGATCAGCTCGTCGCAAGGCCTCTACCTGTACACAAACACAGAAAAACGCACACACACAAACTAAACATCCATGCCCTGAGTGGGATTCGAACCCACGATCCCGGTTTCCACGCGAGCGAAGACAGTACATGCCTTAGACCGCTCGGCTACCGTGACCGGCGCGAGAAGAGATTACTCTACAAAATTATGCAATTTAACATTGATTATAATGTCGTTTTTCATTCACGATGGAGAAATATTTATAGCGCACATTTCACTTGTGGTAACATAACGTAGGATTGAAACCCGTTATAGATGTAAAACCATGAGGAAAATTAATTGAATAAACATCTCAACGAAACACAGAGATACGCTTGAACTCGAGAAGGAGAGTTTTTGAGTCTTGTTTAGAGACATTCTGACGCCATCCTAACAGCCATAATTTGTTGTTGCTGCTGTTCTTGTCGTCGTCTAAGTTCCCTTTGTTTATGTGAATATTTTTATTGTTTCCATTTTTGCTCTTGCTTGTTATATAATTGGCTTTTGGCTGTTAAATAAGCACGTAAATAAATAAGGAATTTAATTCAATTAAAGAATAGAATTATTTCTTGCCCCATGATGGTTGGAGTCATTGCATTTATTGAAACATTATTGTCTGAATGACAGAAGCCATATTATGTCTTTTGTTTGTGTGTATGTGTTTGTTTCCTTCCTTGCCAATTGTATATTATAATTGACCTTTGGACCGTTAAATAATCATGCAAATAAGTAAATAATTAATTGAATTATTATAGTTTCGGGAATTACATGAATGGAAGAACGATGATATATATGGGGAAAATTATATATTCTCTCTGTTTTTATACGCCAAATCATGAAGTCATAAGGATGGAGGTAAAGCTCCATGCTTTCTTTGTATCAGCGTTAGATGGCAAGGGAATGAAAAGGGTGTAGGTTAAGGAGAAAGAAGGAGAAAGAATAAGACTTCCCAGAAGATGGAAAAGCTATACCTGTAACAGGCCGTGGAGGTCCATAGGGTTGTGAGACTTCGAGGCTCCCGCATTCTCTAGACAATTGGCTCACAGATGGCGGTAAGGTTGCCAGCATTACACGCCCATCGCTGCCAGAAAATGACACAATAAAATTGAAGACCAAAACTAGTAGAATGGAAGCAGTCAATTTAAAGTGATGCTGGAGCATAAATAGGCGAGAAATGTGAAGGAGGTGGAGGACATAGTGGGAGGAAAGAATAAACTTACGAAGAAATGGACATAAGAAGAACAATTATGATGAATATTAGAAGAAAGAGAACAGAGTTAAGAGTGTTGCTGTTGATGTCAGTGTTGATCGCAAACTTCATAGAAACAAATGCTCATTACTGCTAAGTGTCAGTCCATACGCACATAGGACCGCAACACGATCTCCAGTGAAGGGGAGGGAACGTACCTTGATGAGTCTGTCGCGGATCTCCCAGCTGAAGATGCCCGGGTTGGCCTTCTTGTAGTCCTCGATACGCTGCTCCACCTCCGGGGTTGCTACTCTCGGCTTACTACCCCCTATAACCCCAGGGCGGATGCTGCCAGTCTCCTGATAACGGTTCAGTATCTTGGACACACAGCCGTGTGACACACGCAGTTGTCGCGAGATGACGCAGGGTCGAACCCCGGCAGCTGCCATCTCCACGATCTTGAGGCGGATATGGTTCGGCAGAGGGCGCCCGTTGATGAATACGCCGCCCAGCTGGTTCACCCTCCCCTGTCCTGTAACCATAGCAACGCCTCAGATGCCTAATGGAAAAATGACTTTTCGAGACAAAAGAGGTAAAAGAATAATTGGCTTTCAAGCCGTTAAAAAAAATGTATCTGTCGTTGTAAGGCGGTGATTAAGTCTTGAGTAAGACGTTACTTTGCAAATGATAACAAAATCATGTTCAATATTATTTCATCAGTGAATATATGAAAATGTCATATACAGGATCTCTCATGCAGGCCTGCCAAAATTCATCTGTCACCATTTATGAGACTTTATTCAAATGTTGCATTAAAATCCACCTGGAATACAAATAATAATATTCCCCGCAATAGATCTCATCCACTAAAAAATCGTTTCTAACTAACTCCATGGATCTGAACCCTTCTTGAGAAGCAGCTAGTTGCACAGCTACTCAATTTCCCAACATTTTATTTTCACAAGATTTATTGTCATGTTCACAAGAGCCATCCAATGGTTCCCATCCTATTTCTCTAAGATCCATTTTAATATTATTCACACACCTACGTCTTGATTTTCCCAGTGGTCTCTTTCCCTCTGGCTTGCCCATCAAAATCCTATACGTAATCCTACCTCGTCTGTGCTGCGTGTCCTTCACGTGTCATCCTCCTTTACATGATATTCTAATTATTGGAGGAGGGTACAAATTGTGAAGCTCCTGATTATACAGTTTTCTGCAACCTACAAAACTTTATTTATTTGCAGTTTGTTTAACGGAAAGGAAACAGATTTCGGTTAGAATCTGCCTAGACGGACTGAGGAAATGTAGGAAATAATTCAAGATAGTCGATCACCGAGCAGACATTTAAATTCAGGGCCTTTCGAGAATACGAGAGAGGGCTGCTATATATTCGAACGCGGCCCTGTCCTTTTTGAATGAGGCACTGTTGGTGTATATTTGTGCTTCGACATGAAGGACCCTTTGTATGAAATAATACACTGAGATTTCTGTACGAAGATGGGCCAGAGTAAAAAAAAAAAGAGCAGAAGTATCCCTGTAACAGGCCGTGGAGCGTATAGGGTTGTGAGATGTTGAGGTTCACACATTTTCTACATAATCGGCACACAGATGGCGGTAAGGTTGTCAGCCCTACGCACCGGCCGCCCTTTACCCCCAAGAATATTCCTGGTACTCATTTCTGTTAGAGGCTGAGTCCACCCCAGGCCCATAGTTAGGCTGGAAGGATTAGGTCAATTGAAAAATCCAGTGACCTCATCTGGAATCGAACCTGCCACCTTCCGGCTTGTAGCAGAGTGCCTCAACCAACTACGCTACCGCCTGCCTCCGATGGGCCAGAGTATCTTCTCAAGAACTCCTTCTTGGATCTCCGTCTCTCTATATTTGTACCAATGTTTGCACACTTGGTAAACTCTTCTACCCTGAAGGTAGAAGCTGTAGCTTCAGCTGAAACGTTGGTAACGGTATGCCAGAGTATATGGTGGAACATACCAGAACACAGAAATCTCTAGAACCAGTGAAGATTCAAAATTAAGTTTGAAAACTTTTTTATATCTTTGGAGAATCCCATTCTGAGATTTGCATCAGCATTTAGGCACGGAAGTCGATGCACGTGAAAGAACGTTGGGAGACAACATTTCAGTCTTTTATTATTGCTGTAAATATATCAGGGTGGTTTGAATGTGAAAGATTTCTGTTTCTTTTATCGTACGATTCGTGAATAGGCTTTGAGATTGCAGACGTCAGTAGATAAATCATACTGCGCAGACGTGACATGTAAGGACTACTGCCACGAAACGCAAACTTTAAACAAAGGGAAATGTAAAGCAACGCGCAATACACGCTGACATGTTATTCAAAGTTTTGAAAATAAGTTAAAAGATATTGACATATGTGGGAGAGTGTATCATTAGATTTCGAAACGGAAGTTGCCTTTTTTCTTTTGTAAGGTCGAGTAGTATGGTATTTTCCATGCGCTTTTTAACTCTTGTTTTGACAGCATTACTTTCTGTTTGGTTCTAACCGGAAAAATCCGCCTTTTATACTTTAAGTAAACAGTTTTCTATGCAGGACTCGAACCCACATGTCTTGTATGACATTATTACTGTGTAGGCCTAATTGAAAAGTAATACAGCATAAATTATTAACTTCTTCGCGACTCTTTGAGCTCTGTGGTTTGTTTCCATTCAGAATTAATTCTGCAATTATGAGTATGAATCTTATAGACAGGACAACACAACACACACACAAAAACCCAGACATCCATGCCTCAACTCGGATTCGAACACACGATCTCAGTGTTTGAGCTGGCAAAGATATTTCTTGCCTTAGACCGCGCTACTACTGTGGTAAGCAAATATTCTTTTTCCCTTGGCACTACAGCCCCAGTGTGCCTAGGCCGACCTCCATGAACTTCTCCGTTCACTTCGGTTTTTCTGGATCTTACACATTCGGCAGGACTCCTTGGGCGGGTGATCAGCTCGTCGCAAGGCCTCTATCTGTACACAAACACAGAAAAACGCACAGACACAAACTAAACATCCATGCCCTGAGTGGGATTCGAACCCACGATCACGGCTTCCGAGCGAGCGAAGGCAGTGCATGCCTTAGACCGCTCGGCTACCGTGACCGGCAAATATTAATTTAAAGGGAATAATTAATCAAATAAGCGATTAAACGAGTATTTGAGAAGATAATAGTTGCCCATCTGGTTAAGAAATTCGTCACATATTGTGGAGCCAAGGAGCCATGTGCTCCTTTTACTGATATATTGTCACGTATCCGGGGTTTACGTGACTAAAAAGACGAATTTTGGATTTGATGATCGAGTTTATTGACCCATTATACCACTGGTTACAACAGTTCACTCACTATCTGACACACTGTCATCTCCTTCCGACTGGACACTCCATTGGAACTATTCTGACTTCCAATTGAACTCCGTTGTACTCCTTGTACTCCATAAATTCTGATCTAATCTACGACTGATTGTGCCCTCTAATAAATCCTCGACAAGGATCCCACGGAAAACACAGTCTTCTATTGTTAAGAATACATGTTTATTAGTCCGTTACCTAGCAATGGATGTCCTATTGTTTAGACCGTATTCTTTGGGATTGTGTTTGCCGAATCCTTGCCTAGCAATGGACATATGCGTCACAATATATTCAGATTAACATCTTGTAAAGGTAGACGTCCATCTGAAGTTCTCACACTGAACACAATTTAGAGATTAGGATATAGTTTTGTCAAAGCAAATTCATTTAATTTTTAACCTAATTTCTTTATTTAAAAAATAAAATGAGGCCTATGATGTCGCCTTGCTGTTTGCGTTTCCGTCTGTGTCCATCTTTCTGTGTACCTCCCAATATTTTAGGCGTACGAGATCACTTTTCTGGTGTGTGTCTGTCCCCCCCCCCCCAATTTCATAATTTTCTATGCAGTCCATATATTATTAAAGGAAAGTAGGCGATTGGTTCTTCCAAGAACTTCTTGTAGTAATTTTTATGTAATCTTTGCCAAATATAATTAGAATGATCAACTCAAGGAGGATGAGATGGGCAGGATACATAGCAAACATGGAGGAAAAGAGGAATGCATATAAGATTTTGGTGGAAACGCCAGAAGGAAAAATGCCACTAGGGAGAAATAGACATAGACGGAAGGACAATATTAGAATATATCTCAGAATTACAATGGGATAGTATGGACTGGATTGATCTGATTCAGGATAGGGACCAGTGGAAGGCTCTTATGAACATGGAAATGAACTTTAGGGTTCCATAAAATGTTGGTAAATTCTTGAGTAGCTGCGTGACTGGTAGCTTCTCATGAAGGACTCAGGTCCATTGAGTTATTTTTATATGTAATATATCAGTGCATTAATATTTTTGGTCCATTTCGTGTTAATATGCTTATGGTTCACAAATTTGATAATTTCAAAATATTTATATCGATTTTTGGGAAAACGTATTTGTTCCTATCGCGGCCCGTCGATAGGTTCCTAAGGTACAGTAAGTCCCTTAGAGATCTAAAGTTTGACAGCCCTAACATAGAATAATGGCTGTTTAGTGGCGGTTCAATAAAAAATATAGGATAGCACAACAAAACGATATCCAAATATAATATTTCTTGAGCACATTATTATCAAATGCGAGGGAAGATCAGTAAATATGCCATAAATTGACGTAGAACGTAAAACATGTGATACTCGAACCTGGAAACAAATTCTGATACGAGTACACTTGTCCCATTGCTTTACCAGTGCGTTGAAAGACGCAACATAGAAGTTTCTGACTGTTGTCTCAACAGGGCGACCTGGTCGGGCAACATGTACGACTTGCGAAACTTCTCGACAGAATTTCTGCACCCAGCTGTGAACCGCTTTACGCCACAGACACTTGACTCCGTAAACAGGAAACATTTCTTTATGAATTTTCTTTGCATTTGGTCCTTTTTACCACAGAAAACGAACAACAGAACGCTGCTCTCCAGTAGTACAATCCACAAGCACGGTCGCCATTTTGACTACAGAAACCAGCCTCTCAATATGCGTATGCGCCTCTGATACCTGGACTGTCATGAAATTGAACTGTGCTGCTACCTAGTGATACACACAGAAAACCTCTTACATCCATTACTGCTGTTTTACTCCCATTTGTGACCTATTTACTGACTCTTCCCCGTACTTTCAATTTATGTTCATCCCTCGTACGAGAAAGACTGAAATATCCGACAAAACTGTGAACTTTGTAGTGTTCAAATATTTGTAATTCAGGTGGGGTGGCCCTTCCACCTGCCCTTTCCGTTGAAGCAGAGTCTAGATCGTAGGTGACGTGAGTTCGCCCTCCAGGCTGAGACCACCTCGGCACCCTCACGGACGATTGGCCTCTTTCAATATCTTTCTCACTGATCCGTCTAGTGAGATGTCTTGAAGAAAACATTTGTTCGACAAATAAACTGTTAACGCCCTATTGACCACTGTACTTCCTATCTTCTCTCAGAGACTACTGCTCAATGATTCTGAATGGT